TCAAGATCAAAATCTCCCTCTTTTCTAGATCTAAGTCACCGGTAGAAGGAAGGGTTATGATCAGAAAAAAGTCCCAGGTGGCCCTCCAGCTGCAGTATATTATGCCTTCCATATTCACAGCTTTTACTCCCGCTTCCCCGTCAGAGCCCTGCATCCTGGCTGATTTTACCTGCTTTAAATAAACAGCTATCTTCATATGCTAAAGCCTCTATTCATTAGAAACCACCGACCTAGGGCTCAAGTAAGTGGTCCTTTTGGTGTTCGAGGGTGAAAGTCACAGAGAGCAGATGCTGCCAAGACACAGGTTCAGCCCAAGTTCAAGAGAATTCAAAGCAGCACTGAGACTGGCATTTAAAAAGCAACAGCAGACTGTGAGGGGCTATCCAGGACTGACCAAGTAGCGAGGAAGCCAGGTCTGAAAGCACTGAGGACAGCAGCAAGGCCAGCACAGGCCAGAGCAAGACAGAACCGTGAGGAGTGAAGAGCGACCAGGTTCGGGAAGAGCACAGCCACATGCTGGGGAGTTCAGGCAGACTGGGCAACCAGAGAAGGGAGGCCACTCACACAGCGAGGCAGTGTGGGCACGAGCCACAGGGGAAAGGTGCTGTCCCCTAAATTACCATACAAGCCAGCCTGGGATACTCGACCCACAGACTTGAAGTGCGAAGTGAAGGAGAAGGGTCCTAGAAATAAACATGCATGCATGCTCTGAAAAGAAAACTAAGATCTGATACAAGACCATATGACAACAAGGCTTAGCAAGTAAAGCTGCTTGAAATCTTTGCAAGCTCCCACCCAAAAAAAGCTACAGAACATATGACCACACCCAGGCATCAGGACAAGACGCTGTTCTGAAACGCTACAAACAAGGGAATGATACCCCCTAATCCAGATTCCAAAGCTCACCAAGAATAAACACATTTGACCTGAAGGAGCTTTAAAAAAGTCACACTTCATAAAGACAGGGAAACCAGCTGACCATAATCTAAGAGACAAGGCTGATCCTGGGAAGGGTGGACAGACGCCAGTTCATCGCCACTCTGTTCCTCCTCTCACCTGGCTCCTCCCACTGAGTTTGAGCAAATGAGGCAAAAAGGTAGTGAGTGCTCTTCTATATGACCACTATAGGTTCACATAAAATAAAATGCCCGATTAATGGAAATTACAGCTCCCTAAGTTTTCAAAGGTGCTGCATATTTAACAATTTCTTACAAAGCACCAGGGAATGTAAGGAGGGTCCTATTATTTTCCACTTAATGTCATTATAGTCTTCTGACACTATTTTTAAAAGACTTAACTATCACCAAAAAATAACTAAAAGAAAGCATGGGTGAATTTATTTATAATAATGTCATAGAGGTCTCTGCAAGCATGACATTAAGTCCCAGAAGCCACAAAGGACAAATACATTTGACAACACAGAAATATATAATAAAAAAAATCCACCCTCCAAGCAGAAAGATAAACGACATATTGAGGGAAAGTACGTGCACATTTGACAAAGGGCTATATTATAACTCAAACAGATTTGGACTGACACACAAAATCCTATGGAAGAAGGTGCAAAAGATATTAACAGTTCAAAGAAAAAGTGATCAAAAACATATGAAGAGATGTTTAGCTTTATTCATGATCAAGTCATGTGAATTACAAAAAGAAAAAATGAGATACCATTCGTAACCCATCAGACCTGCACACATTTTAAAAGTGTGCAGGTGTAATCCTGAGGGATAATCTGGTAATATCAATTAAGATGTAAAAAGCATTCATCGTTTGGCCCACAATTAACTATTAAGAATTAAGCTTACAAATACACAGTACTTACAATAGCTTATCAGGATATGTATGTCCACTGAGCACTTTTATTTGCTATAGCAAAAAAAAAAAGAGGGAAACGAGCTCAAAATCCAGAGAAGACTTGTTCAAAAAAACAAAACAAAACAAAACAAAAAAACCAATCAACAATGAAACACTACCCAGCCATTAAGAAGAATAAATAGACCTGTATCCTTCGACATGGAAAAGAGCTCTAATATTTAGCCAAAACCAGCAAGCCATAGAAAAATCTGTATGTATATATGTGATTCACTTCATGTACTTTTCTTAAAAGAACAAGTATATACTGCTGTATCCATTCTGGAAGGAATCCCATGAAACCATTAATGTTGGTGACTTTCGGGAATGAGGACTACAGACTGGGGAAAGGGAAGGGAAACAGACTTTTATACTTTTTGAATTTTTTTATCATATAGCTGTATTATTCTCACTAAAAGTTTTTTTAAGACATGGTATAGGGTTTTACCTAAAAATATATAATTTTTAAAACCAAGGAATCTAGGGAAAGATAGGCTGCAAATGGGTAATTATTGTATCAAGCAGACAATTATAGAGGCAGAAACAAAGAACTATGAGAGCAATGACAAGACTGATTACTTTTGACCAAAGAGAATTTTTTTTAATCAAAGAGAATAAATAAAATCTTCATGGTGGAAGTAATATTTGAACAGGACTTTGCATTTCAAATGGAACAGAAAGAACACTTCAGGCAGAGGAATGGCAGAAGCAAAGAACACTGGAGTGAAAATGTATGGTGTCTGGGGTAGTGGCCAGGGCCCAGGTACAAGGAGTGATGAGGGAAAGAGGAATGCCACAGTGGGAACGTGGATGGCCTTGAATACGAGACTGGAAATCTCAAACTGGATTCCGGTGGCAGCCAATTTGAACACGAGTCCAAAGAAGGACTCAACAGGGCTTGGAGACGGAGGGATGCTATCCACTCTGGAAGTTAGTTCCACCTCAGACAAGCTGAGTTTAGACTGCCCACTGGGCCTCTGAACAGAGTTGTCCAATAGGCACAATTTGGGAGTAACCAAAAATTGTACTAGCCAAGGATGAATGTGGTAACATGCGGTTACTAAAAGGGAAAACAGAAAACACAGTTGAGAACAGAAGGAACAGTTATTTGCTCCTACTGTAAGATGCTCACGAAAGAGGAAACATGCACACCTAGCCCTCTCCTTAAGGCACCGTTTCACTGACTAATAAAATTCTGCATCGTGCCTTTTGTTAAGCTGTAAGGAAACCAAACAGTGAAAACCAGAACCTAGACTAGTGCCATCTTCCCACACTGCAAATCCATTCTAAAGAGAACCTAAAGATGAGAAAAGACACTTAAATGTCATCTGGGCAAAACACCCACATGGGCCTTGAAATCCCCTCTACAAAATCCTTGGTCTTAAACCCTGGAACTGTTTCCCAGTAATGACAACCAGAGCAAAAGTAAAAGCGTAAAACCTAAGCAAATGTGATGTGCTGATCCTTGAGCCTCCCGTGCTGCTGAGCTCACACCCTCAGTGGTGAGCTCTCTGAGGGCAGGGACTGTGTGCCCAGAGCCTAGCAGTGTGTCTGGCAGAGAGAGGCTCTCAGCAACCTAAACCAAGCTGGTGGCTCAAAATCCATGACTGCCACCATGGCGGCACCCTCAGCTTTCAACTTTTCCTGCTGAACACCCGAGAGACGTAGGATCGTCTCACCAGCAGGAAAAATCTAGCAAGGTGGTTCACTCCCATCTAACCCATAAACACTCTAATTTGCTCCACTTCATTTAAAAATACCCTGCGACACTTCCAAGAAAGGAAAGCAAGGTTACAAATTTGGAAGTTGTTTAAGGCACCAGGAAGTACCCATTATTCTCCATCAAGATGCTCATGATTCCAAACCCAGATTTGCACCTGCTGGCTTCAGTCACTTGCTGATACTGGAGACACAACTCAAGCTAGACTTTCTCTATCAGGCACTGAAGACCTGAAGATCCCTTATCATTCCCAAACAAAAAGTCATTAACAAGACCGCTGAATGGAAGCACTGGGGACAACAGGCATGGTGACAGCAGTCACAAGGATACAAAAATAACTTTCTTAGGTATTTCTGCCTGGGTCTAGAGAAAAACTAAAATTGAGCTGTCATGAAACACAATCTAATCCTTCAGAAAGCAGCAGCCGAATAACACCAGGCCTGCATGAAACATTCTGGTGCCGCTGAAACCCAATGCAAGAAAAAAATAAATAAAATGGCATTCCGTGATGGATATTCATGAAGCACTCATCCTAATTTAAAAGAAAACAAGTCTAGAGTTCTTACTGCATTAATTCATGTGAGCCTGAAAGAACATTTTTATCCAAACTGTTAGATTTCCTACCAAGGCGTTAACATTCTCCAAGTCTGCTCAGATACAATAATTCTGAGAGTGCGGTTTCGTTTGACAGTGGAGACTGTCTTTCAGTCAGTGCAAAACATCAGAAGCTTCTTCTGAGCTTTCCTAGCAGAGCAGGAATGGACTCTTTAACCTGACTGGCAGTAACAGTTACTGAGCTCCAACTGCGTTCTGTACACTAAGTAAGCTCTCTACCTGCTCACTGAATCTTCATGACAACACTATGAGATAGACACGGCAGCTATCCCCATTCTACAGATGAGAAAACACTCAGAGAGACTAAGAACCTTTCCCAAACTCATTAATGACTGGCCTGAGCCAGGATTTGAACCTGGATTTGACAGTCTTCAGAGCCAGAATTCTTATCTCCCGTAAGAATAAGATTTTAATCCAGGCACAGTGGTGAGAAGTAGGGGTTTTATTGGTGCTAGTGTCTTACTGATCACCTTTGAGTGGAAAAAAAATTTCTCATTTAAGGGTGTATCATTACACCAACACAGTGATAATTAAGGGGTTACAATTCCTTGTACTTTGCAGCCATTTCTCTGCATAATGTCCATTCTTTTTACTTCTGTCTATGAAGTGGGCAATTAGATGCTTAAAATCCTATCATGAAATAGAAAGATTTGTTTCAGTTAAAGGAATGAATAAGCTTTCTTAAGGCAAAGAACTCAAAAAAGTCAAGGAGTAGCATCTTATCTGCTTACTGCTGGCATTTCAGGGGACACCAGACCTGGGAAATATATTAAGTCCCACCTCGAAAGATAAAAGGATTCGAAAAGCTCACCTTGAATTGCTTTCTTCCATGAAGTTTTCCATGCCATCAATACAACCAGAAAATAACCATTAGAAATTAAACTGCCTTCAGTTGATGACCTTCACTAAGCTAAATTCAGCAGTCTGTCAGCTACAAAACATTAAACGGACACAATTAAGAAGTTTGAAAACCATTAAGCAGAATTTAAACTAGAGAAAGATGAAAATTAATGGGAATAAAACATAATGACACATTATAGATTTGTGATACTGACATTTTTGACAAGTGCTTCAGCTGGAAGGTAAAAGTAGGATCCACAGACATGTAGAAATACACAGCTCAGTAAATACACCGAGGTTCGGCAGCCTATCATTTCTCCACCGTGATAAATTTACACCTAATAATGATGATGATGATGATGAAAATGTAAATATTAAGCAGTTACTAGGTGCTATAAACTTTGCTACCTCCTTCATATACTTTTTTTCACTTTAAAACTCACAAAACCCTAGGAAATGGATTTTATTATCCCCATACTACAAATGAGAAAACAGAGGATCAGAGACATTATATAAATTGTCCAAGTTCACATGGCTAGTAAGTAGCCTTGCTGGGATTCAAACCCAGACTGGTCTGATTCCAAAGCTGATGTACTTTCCCCACAGCCTCCAACTGAAGAATTACATGTTTTCCTTTCCCATAATCAAGAGTAAACATTTTAATGTTTCAAAGATTCATTTTATGTTATCTGCACTCGAAGAATGAAAGCTGAAAACATCCACCTTGAATGGCAGCATTAGACGTAAATGATATATGACAGAGAAAACTGATAACTAATAAAAGCTTCTCCTTTAAAAAGGGGCGGTTCAAAAAAATTTAAGTCATTTACCAACAAAAATTAGGAAGTATTTGCATACCTATTACAAAAGCCCAGCTACAGTATTAGATATTACAAGGGCTGCAAGAGAAGTATTAAGACAAAATGCCCTCAAAAAAAACACCCACTTCAGCTGGGACAAGAGCAAGTTCAGTAACCGAGGAACAAGTGCTGAATCCTGTGCTTTAGATTCTGAGTGCCACAAAGGCATGGGGGTAGGGCAGTCAGGGAACACCCTCTGGAGGAAGTATATCTTCAGCAGGGGCTTGAAGGAAGTGAAATGGAGAATTTACACAGAGGAGAAGAAAAAGGAGGCCAGGACTTCAGAAGGGGGAACAAGAGGCGCAACGCCCTCGAAGCAGTCACAAACTCACTTCTGCAGGAGACAGTCGGGGAGGAGAAGCAGCAAATAAGGTCCAAGAAGGTGAGGAGAGCCTTGAAAAGACACGGCGGGCACTGACTGGATGCAGTGTGGCAGGCAGAGGATGTACTCAGCTTTGAATAGTGGTATAAATACCTGTGGCCTTTTAGCTGATCTCCTGGCCCCCAGCCTCTCCCCTCCCCTCCTGTAAATGATCATGAGCCACCCCTAGTCTCTTGCCTCTCACCACTGCCTTTAGAATAGTTTCAACTTTGGCCTAGTGTTCAAGTTCTTTCAGAAACTAGCCCAGCCAATCTCCTTATTCCCTTCCTTTAAGCACCCTTCTCTACAAGGAAACTGGTCTATTCACTAACTCCACGGGATCACTGGGTCTGATTCTTCTTTTCCTATCAGAGTCCTACTCATCCTTTTACAGCCAGCTCAAACCCCACCCCCTCACTAAAGCCTTTCCTGACCACTTGGCCTATAGTAACCTCCATCTCTCCTTCCTCTTAATTCTACAGCACACAGGCTTGTCTCATCAATTACCTTTCCACAGGTAAAGCCTCAGCACCCAGTGTAAAGCTGCTTGGAGGCTGGAAGTGTGCCTCCTACGACTTTACCCCACCACATGGAACAGCATCTTGACATTTAATAAGCAAGCAAACACTCAACTCTTTTTTTGACTTCCTATATTAAGTTTAGCATTAGCATAAAGGAAGGATGGGAGAGGTGGGGGGACTTCTGAAGTCAGAGACTAGCTAAGAAGCTGCTGCGATAATCCAGATGTGAGGTAAAGAGGGCCTGACTAGGGAACAAAGAGAAAATGGGCAGATATAAACAACAACAAAAAATTTTGCACGCAAAAACTCAGCAGGATGTGATTGACTACTACTAGGAACAAAAGCAAGGAATGAATTCGGATAAGGTTAGGTTTAGAAACGCTTCTTGGATTCATTTTAAACCCTGTCTGAAAACAAGTGTATTAAGCGGCTAAAAAGTCCACATTTGCAAAAAGTCTTCGGTGAAGCTGCCCAGTATCTTGAACCAGGGACAGCCATTCCAATTTCAGACATACACAGAATGGTAGAGCTGGAAGGGTCTTTAGAGAGCTTATCTAAAACCCTCACTGATCAGGTGGGGAAACTGAGACCCAGCATGGAAAAGGCTTGCTGAAAGCCTCAAGACTGAGACTCCCAGACTATTCATGCCCCAAGGCACAGCCGCCTAGCCTAGAAGGACACTGTTTACACACCCAGGCCAGCCCAGCCCTCCGTAATGGCAGGACCGTCTGAGGGCGAGAGTGACCATGGAGACGTCCAGGGCCAAGCAGGACGCGCCGCCGCCTGTTTACCTGGAGAAAAGCCGTGGCGTGGGGCAAGAGCTCGGTTGCAGCCACCAGCAGGGCCGACCCCGCGGCCCGGCCCGGCTCTCCCGGGGACTTAACCATCCGGCCTCCCCGTACAAAGGGGGAGCGCCCCCGGGGCCGAGGGGCCCGGAAGCAGGGGATCCCGAGACGCCCGGGCGGAGGCTGGGGAGCCCGGGGCAGCTGGCCGAGCGCTGCCCTCAGACCCGCCAGCAGCGCCCGGACTCCGGGGCCAAGCAGGGTTGGCCCCTTGGGGGCGCGCGCCGGACCAGAGCAGGTGCCCAGAGCGTCCGGACCCCGCCCGGCCTCGGCTCCAACCCGCACCACCCGCCCACCCGCCGGCCCGCGGGGCTGACCAGGCGCGGAGGCTCCCGCCCCGCCGCGCCCAGAGGGAACCGGACAGCGGCCAGGGGCTGCCACCGACTCCGCTGGCTCCGCCCGCGCCTCGCCCGCCGCCCACCGCCCCCCGCCGGCGCGCCTCACCTGCGGAGAGCGCCGCGCTCACATCGCCCGCCCGCGGCGCCCCCTCCGCCGCCGCCGGCGCCAGGCCCGTCCCCGCCGCTCCGGCTGCCGCCCCAGCCCGCGCCCCCCGCCCCCGGAAGCGCTTCTCGGCCCCGCCCCCTCAGCGCCGGCACTTCCGGGCAGGCGCGCACCGGGGTGTTGGCGACGCGGGACTGGCCTCTCTCCGGGACTCCGAGTCCGGGATCCCGCTCGGGCTGTGTCCGGGAGTCTCGCCGCGGACGAATGGGCGAGCGGCAGCCTTGGTCCCGACTCCGGGAGGGAGCGGCGGCAGGTCCGCGCATCACGGCCTCCCGCCCGCCTTCTCCTCGGCTCCCCCTGCTGGCGGGAGGAGGGCTGCTCCGCGGGGCGCGCCCGGGGCTCCCGGAGCGGAATGGGTGAGAGGCCCGGACTTTCGACTTGCCATCACCCGGGGCCTGCACCCACCGTGCGCCCAGCCTTCCGCTTCCGAGACCCTCGCTCTCACAGCCCTTCGGATGCTTGCCCCTCACCCAGGCTGCACAGCAGTTACCTGTGCGGTGGTTACCTTGCCAGACAGGGTCACCTAACTTAGGACCTTGGGCAGATTCCCTCTCCCTCAAAGCCGAGATAAAAATAACGAACTTGGGGATGTGAAACTCCTGTCACAGACCAAGTCTCAAAAAAAAATGTGCATTTCCAGATCCTTGGAGGCACCCAATCTTGACACTCGGGTGGGAGTGGGAGCCTCGCTCAGCATTTTCCTCTCTGTTTCAGGCGAATTTAACACCCTTTGAAGACCTTCCCTTTACATTTTGGTGGACTCCTGCGAAGTTGTGGCAGAAGTTTATTTTCCTTTTTCTGACTTTGTAATAAAAATAAACTAGGAGTCAAAGATACCAGCTCCTCTTCAAGTTAGAAAGCTGAGACTTCACCTCATCCTCCGCAAGCGGGAAGTCTCTCCAGGCTCCGTCCAGTACTCACCTTACAATAACAAGGGCCACCTTTTGTTGGACACTGGGCAGGGCGCTGTGTAGACACTTTATAGACATGACCTCCTTTAATATACAACCCCAGGACTGTTAATATCCCCATTTTATCAAGGAGTGAACTGAGGTTCAGAGAAGTTAAGTGTCATCTAAAGTCACACAGCTAAATGGCAGACTTGGGATGAGCTCCCTTGTCTGTCTGACTCTAGACAGGAACTTTTTGTGGCAATGGAATGTTGCGAACAGAACTTTAGGTAACCTAACTGCAGGCACCTGGGCAGAGAGTCTCACTCTCTAATTACTATTCTTGAGCTATTTCCTTGAGATCTGACCCCAAGAGTGAAGTCTGTGAACCCAAAGGCATAGGAAGACATCGTCTTGTCAGGCCAGGTTTCCTCAGGACCACTGGGCTGATTCACACCCCACATGAGTGAGTTCCTGTTTCCCCACAGACCAGCTGTGGGCTTCATCATTTTAACTGATTTTTGCTAAATTTGTTGGTAAGAATTGGGATCTTCTTGGCTGTAATAATCATATTTGCGTGTCATTAAGGATTATAAAGACTGAAATGTTCCTTAATATTTAAACTTAGTGCCACGTGTCTCAAAGTTATTAGCCATCCGTCCATTGGACACTGGGTATTTCCCTCATAGCTTTATATTTATTCCCCCACCTCACTGGGTCACTCAACTCATATATTTTTCCAGTGCCCCGCTTTTGTTGTTGTCATTTAGCTGATTATGTGTCATAATCTCTACTAACTTATTTTAGTTAGAAAATTGTCACTTCACAATTAGGGTGCATGTGTTTGTGTTTTCCCATGATGTTTGTGGCATTTTTAAATGATTTAACTTTGCCTATTTGAAATCAAAAAGAGTCTAGATGGGCTTCCCTGGTGGCACAGTGGTTGAGAGTCCTCCTGCCGATACAGGGGACATGGGTTCGTGCCCCGGTCTGGGAAGATCCCACATGCCGCGGAGCGGCTGCGCCCGTGAGCCATGGCCGCTGAGCCTGCGGGTCGGAGCCTGTGCTCCGCAACGGGAGAGGCCACAACAGTGAGAGGCCGGCGTACTGCAAAAAACAAACAAACAAAAAAGAGTCTAGAGGGTGATGTATGGGCCTCATTCCACAGTTACCCAGTTTCCCTAGCGGTATTTATGAAATGATAAAAGTCATATTTCATCCAGTCAAGGAGGGGTTTTGCCATAATGGAGGTATGCAACATTGGCGGCTGGTGTTAAGCCAATATCTGTGTTCTGCCTTCTCTTCTTCCAAGGTACATGGCTAAACACATCTTCCAGCTTCCCCTCCACGTCATGTGTTAACTGAGATAGTGTAGAAGTGCTTGTAAAAGTTAATTCCTTTCCCCTCCTTTCCTCTTCTTCCCTTTCTTGGACAGATAGGGCCCAAATCTCCACTTCTCATCTATTCCAGATTCCTGAGCACTTAGAGAGTCAGGATAGCCAGGTTATCTGATCCCAGCCTCTCCTTCTTCTGGCTTCCACAAGGGGACCCTTTCTGCCAAAGCTCAGGTCCACTTTGAAATCCCCAGAGTCTGGCAAAGCTTATTGTCTGTTGGCATCTGTCAGAGTCTTGACACACGTAAGTCACGAATATCCTTTAAACAAAAAAATTATGTGAATTATCTGGGATTTTCTCACTCTTGCTCCCCTCACCAGGACCCACTGGTGTGCCCCTTCCACATGTCTCACTACCTGAGTAGTGTGGGGCCAGCAGGGGGAGTCAGCCTCTCCAAACAGTCCCACGCTGTCCAATGACTTCTATTATAGAACATCCTAGTGGGTCAGGTTTCCACCTGGCCAGCTCTGCAGAGTAGAGTAGGTGTTCCACCCAGTCCGGGAAGAGCAGTCTTCCTGGGAGACTCCTCTGGTCCTCACTGCCTGTGTGATGGGAGCCTTTCTTCTTCATCTGTTAAAGGGCAATTAGGCTGAGGGGTGCGATGTGTGGCCTCCCCTCCCACAGCCAAGGGTGGACAGTAGAGTGCTATGGCTAAGCAGTGAGGCGGATCCGGGTCCCCGTCCCCACTCAGCCCCACAAGGTGGACTGCCGTAACTCAGCCCCACAAGGTGGACTGCCGTAACTCAGCCCCACAAGGTGGACTGCCGTAACTCAGCCYCACAAGGGCTCTGTGATCTGAAGTGGGGCCAGGCACTCGCCCTGCTGAGCTTTGGCCTCGTCATCTGTATAGAGGGTGATGACACCGACCTCAGTGGTAAATATGACCATCATAGAGCACGGCACACACAATAATTATTCTTGGTTAGCAAGAAAGCAAGGGAGGAAAGATGGCTTCAAGAGCCTCCACCCATTTTCGAGAAGCCTTTTCTCACTTCCTGGAGAGAGAGCTTGCTCTCTCCTGTCCTCCTGTCTCACCTGCCCAGCCTCTGGGTGGGCCTGGCTTGCCTCTGATCTGAGTCCTGCTGGCACCCACTGGGCTCAGGTGTTGCCTCTGGAGTCCTTCCTCACTGTCACTTTCTTCCTGATCTGCTCTCTCCTGGTTTCCTGCTGATTCTCCACCACCACCCCTGTAATAGACTGCTGGCACTCTCTCCTTCTCCTGTGTAGTAGCCACAATGGCAATTAATTAATGACCTGTACAATTACGAGTTTAATATCTGTGTCCCCCACCACTAGCCTGTAAACTCCATGAGGATGAGACCTTGTTTGACTTCTTTCTTGCTGTTTCTCCAGTGTTTGGTACTCAATAAATATTTGTTGAATTAATAGATAAGGAACGGCTAACCAGTTTTTGCTTCTACGTCTGTGTTCCTTGCGGGTAGGGGCTGTTTAATTTCCTCTGCACCCTGCAGAGAACCTGGTACTAAATGAGCAGCAGTGAATATTTGCCAAGGGAAACAAAGTAGGAGTAAATGAGTGGATGAACTGAGAGACTGAACCCACACCTCTCTTCCCCTTTTCCCTGCATCACGGCTTATGACCGAGTCCCCCCGTCTGTGTAAATTGTCTCTTGGTCCTGAACAGCCTCTGTCTTGCAGCTTCCTTTGACTCACAAGGATGATGGGCAAGAAGAGAAAGATCTTCCACATTTGTAGGGTGTTCTCATTTGAAAAATAAGGTTTTCAGGAAATCCACCCCAGTCCCTGCAGAGAACACATCTACCTCATCAAAAAGGGTGGCTACCCTCCAGGAGAGGGTACACAGATACATAACACTTTTTGGCCCAGTGCATTTACCTCCTAATTTCCATCAAAGCCATTAATCGCAAAGTTTCATACTTAACGCTCATACAAACCGTGGTAGGCAGTGTTGTCTTCTGGTGAAGAGAATAGTGGAGACTTCAGAGTTGCTTTGGGTGAATCACTTAATCTTTTTTACCCTTTCTTACCCATCTGACAATGGAGCCTAACATTCCCGAATTTCCTCTTTTAATAAACATTCTTGTTCACATTTAAACATTCCTGGAAAGACATTTTACAATCAATGAGTATATTTAATCTGGTTGTGTTTTTTGCCCCAAACTCAGTCAATAAATCCAGAGTGTATCTCAGAATCAATGGCATTCTTGAAAGCTATGTCTTGAGGTGGACTGCTGTAACTCACATCACATTTTCTCACAGGCAGATGTCTGACTAAAGTCAGTAAAGTGAAGACATCTGCAAAGATGCAGCCTGGTTTCAAAAGGTGATTAAGCTCTAAGTGTTCTAAACCAGGCACAAACCTGCCAGGCATGCCTTGGATTTCAACGAAGTGAGCAAGCTGCACGTGAAGAGCATTCTTGCTGCCACATGTGTTTAATGTAAAGCCAACATCCTGTCCATCAAACACGAGACCAGAAGGATTGCTCGCCTTCCCTCAGAAGTCAAGGGTTTTGCAGGATGACTTTGATGACCAAGACTCTTTAAAAAAGATGCCCGGGGAGATGGAAACTTTTCCCCTCAGTAAAATTCCCCACAACAAATAGTTCCACTGACCTTAGACATGACTTTAGCACTTTCTTGAGTTGAAAGCTGTTGAAAAATAAAAGTCACGACATCTGATTGTTTGATGGCTTCACTAAAGATTTCGAATATGAGGATCTGGAGAGGGGGTGTCTCTTTAATCCCTCTTTTTTTTTCCTTCTTACAACAGAATCAGAATGGAGGGGAGCCCTTTGGGAACTGAGTCCCTGGGGCTTCAGGATGGTTCCAGGCACTGTGGAGGAGGGAGGAGAGTCCATCTTTCATTCTTTTAATCAACGTTAATGAGGTAAATTGAGTTTTGGTCAGTGTATACATCTGCCACCGTGACCTTTGCTTTTTTGACTTGCTGAGCACGAACAAGGTGCTCAGCATCTGGTTTTTGATCCTGCCTCCTAGAGTCCCCGTGCATCCTCTCCCTGACTGTTCACACTGCAGGAATCAGTGACTGCAGGATGGAGCCCTGATAGCAGGAGGTGACATCACCACACTCAGGGCAGATCAGCTGGGCAGTGGAGGCACACAATGCCTGGGAAACCCTGTCGCGACATGACTGTTGCATATTTATTCATTCAACAAATATTTTTTGAGTGCTAATTAAGTGCCAAACATTGCTCTAGGTGCTGGGGATATAGCAGTGGACAGGGAAAAAAAAAAATCCCTACCCTTCAGGAGTGTACATGCTATCAGGGAAAGAGAGGTATAAACTAACAAGATATATAGTATGTTAGATGGTGAGAAGGGCTATGGAAAAAATAAACAGGGAAGGGGAAAAGAGAGAAGACAGTACATTACCTGATGACAAAGTTTTATACCAGTTTGAAATTCTTACCTGACTTCTGTATCAAACCAGAGGATGCTCACAGCTGCTGGGTGAGCAGGGGCTCATGGCACCTTTACCTGCCTTCCTGACCTTAATCTTCTTCCGGCTGCTGACACTGAGCTGGGGTTTGCCTGTGTACCTGCCCTGTTCTGATCAATCCTCTTCTGCTGGGCACCCCGAGGATCTGCTCCTCGGCAGCTCCTGTGCCTCCTCTGTCTCCTGGTCTCATCCCTGTGGTCCTGTCCACTATCCCTGGCCCAGAATGGGGCTGGCTTTGTTTTCAGATTCAGTGCGTCCACTGTTACCAGCCAGTTAACTTTTTTCGCCACCTTTCTAAGATTGGGCAACATGGTAAAGACCATGAGACCCTGGGCAAGTGAATCAGACTCTCTGAACCTCGGTTTCTCATCTGTAAGGTGGACGTGGTTGTAGTGCACCTGTCCCAGATGGTTGTTATGGGAATGCCACGAGATAATTGAAATAAAGTGGTTTTCAAAGGCTTGTACTTAGTGGATGCTGAATCAGTAGTAGCTGTTCACGTAGGAGGGACTGAGCTAATGGCAGCAATGCAGGGGAGGGTGCAGCATGGGAGTGCACCCTGGCTTTGTCTCCCGTACCCCCTCCCCAACCCCTCTGGATCTCCCCTGTCCTCCCCCAACCACTGTCATTCTCGGCTCCCCTTTCATCATGGAGCTTAGCTCCGTGGAATCTTCGCCTCTGGCCACTTAATGAGAAAAACTCTTCAGCAGATCTGCTCCCTCCCTCCCTCCCACTCTCATCGCCTGAAGAACAGTCTCTGTTCAAAGGGGACGATGCCTTCCTTGTCAGTCAAGACTCAAGCAGTTTGGGGAATCTTAGCCCCTTCTTTACTTCAAATGCACTCACGGCCAAACTAGTCAGTGGGTTACATTTGTCCAGGGTACTCCTCTGCAGAGAGGATCTCATCTCTGCATGATGAGAATCAAAGCCCCTTTGTTATCTCCCAGCATGGAAGCCTGGCCTAGCTGACAATTTACACTGTAACAATTCTTATTTTTTAACCCACTCCCCTTACTCACAAGACATACAGAAAAGTAACCTCTACCCATTCTCCTCTTCCTTTAAACTTCTTCTTGTTTCTTTTTCCTTGAGTTCCCTGAATTTTGATCAAGTTGGACATGCTCATCTTTTTGGAGTCTTAGGCAGAACTTTGGGGCCTGAAGTCTTGTTGGGAGTGGCTCAACTTCCGGTCAAGCAATAAAATTAAGAACACAGTTTCTTTGGTCAAAAGTCCCTGAACAAAGGTAAGATGCTTAACCTCTCTGAACTTGTTTCCCCATCTGTGAAATGGAGATAGGTGTTCTGATCCCAAAGGGTTGTTAGGAGTAGTACAATGAGATAATGATTGTAAAGCACTTTGCAAAGTGTCTTATGTGTGATAAACAAGCAAAAGCCAGAAGCTCCTATGTCCATCCACAGTGGGGTTTGTTAGGATAAGTCTTATTTTCCTGCTAAGCCTTCTCTATCATGTCCAACTACCTGGGACCTATCACGCTGAGCCCTAGGCATCTGCTGATTCGTCTGTCAGGCTTAAGCAGCTTAACGACAGGGACCTTGTCTGGCTCTCACACAATTCTTAGAAGTTACCAGCATTTCCTGTTGTCAGGGGCTTCCTGTGACTTGAGAGCAGGGGCTGTGTCTTGTTCCCCACTGTGGTCCCTGTGCCTAGCACCAAGCTCAATAAATGTCTTAAAACCAAGAACTAAGGAAGGATAAAAAGATGGCAGGCTCTAGCTGGCTCCCACTAGGATGAGATGGCTCAGAAGTAGGAATATAGATTCACAGAGCCCTCCTGAGTGGGCAGCATCCAGCTGCCATCCCCTACAATGCCAGCCCACCTGGTCCTCACTTCAATCTCCTCTCAAAATTGCTGTTCACCCTGCCTTTCCACAGAGCTGAAAAACAGGCAGCATTTACCTCTAAGAAGTGAGCAACAACAAGCCCCAGGTGCCAATGGAAGCGTGTAACTGATGAAGTTCCTTCTCCCAGTGGGAGAGGTCACCTAAAACAACCTCTTTTCCATTAACACATCAGCAATCTTGTACCAAAAATGTATCCCAGAAACCCACCCATTAGACAGCCATTCCTTTCAATGAAATGTGTGGAGCTCTTCTTTAAGTTTCGCTGATAATTTGAGCCTCTGGATCCCTCTCCCAGTTAAACATCCTCAGCAGAAAGACCCTCTGGAATTCTAAAGCACACTCCAAAGACAGCCTGACCGTAGCCCTCTATCGAGAGACCCAGAAAGTCAGAATTGGAGGAAAAAATTTAAGCATGGCCCTTTCTTGTTCAAATTCAAGCCATAATGTTGGCCCAGGAGTCTCTCCAAATACCCATCCTTTCCCTTGCTTGTATCACATTCTTGCAGGTGGGAATGCTGTTTCTAGTAGGATGAGGATTCTGTATGACAATCCAGTCCACAGCTGAAATGGTCTGCTATACAGTACGGTACTCTGATGGAGTTTGAGTTGCAATTTTGGGGACCATCCCATTTACAGAACAAAGGAATTAAAAATGAATACGGGGAACTACAATCACACCCAACAATGTGGATAAAGCTCCGAAACACAACATTGAGCCAAAGAAGCTAGTCACAGAGTATGTGTGCTCTACGATCCCATTCATATAAAGTTCAAAGACAGGCAAAACTAATCTACAGTGCTTAGAGTCAGGAAACGGAGAGAGGAATGAGGGGAGTTTTGAGCCCCATGTTTTTTGATGACATGGGTACATTCATTTTGTGAAAATTCATTGAGTTGTACATTTATGATTTGTGCATTTTTATGCTTGATCATATTTCAGTTACCAAAAAAAAGTGCATGTGGCCAGCAGGAAATCCTGAGGTCCAGGACTGAATCACACAATGATAATGCAAAGCTTTGGGGTAAATATAAGTTTAAACCAACTCAGAGAGCGATGAAAAGACTAGCACACCCTGCCCAGGTTTCTTGTGTCCGTAGGGGTCATTAAACTCTACCAAGAGAAAACTCCCCTTTCCTAGTGAACAGGGGAGGACCTCTCACCCAGGCTTTTTTCCTTGATCACTGTCTGCACAAGTTCTTTATCATCATGACCTCTGATGGAGGCCAGGGGTCAGTAGCTGCTAGAAAGCGTAGCTGTTGTCTGGAAAAGATCTTTAAGATGTAACACTTTCCCCTGGAGCGGATAAGGGTCATATGTGGGAAGGGGCTCCCAACCACAGACTCTGAGGCTGCCCTTCCATCTTGCAGAATCCCCGCCCCTCAGGTGCCACTCTAATCACAGGACACACTGCCTGTGTGTAGTGTTATTCACATTATAACTGTGTTATTATAATAACACAGTTATAATATAATATAATATAATATAATATAATATAATATAATATAATATAATAATGTGAATAACTGTGTTATTCACATTCTGTAGAATAACAAGTTGACGTTCATCCTGCCCTAGGCAGGGTGATTCTTTGGGGTCTGGATTTCTAAAAGGAGCAGTTTGTGACTCTGGTAAGATCACTCACAGAACAAGGAAGAGACTGTGCTTAACGTCAGACAAGCTAGTCATTTTCCTAAGTTCAAAAAGAAAATACAGCTGAATTATCATCAGCCTCCATTTGCGAAGAGGGGAGAGAGGCCCCCGAGGAGCAGCGGCTCTGCTGCGGCTGTGACTGTTGTTCACGGGCTGCTGGAGGTACAGCAGGGTCCTCTCAGTGAGTCAGCACATATCAGCCTCCAGGAAGGGAGCAACTTGAATGTGACAAAGCCAGCCTTCAATACCCAGAAATTTCGGAGGCGGTTCCTGGCTTGGGGGTTGGGGGGCTGATTGCAAAAATCTGCATTTGCAGGGCGACAATTTAGAAGAGGAAATACCACCAATAACGGTATAGTGTCACGCATTTACAGCTCTCTTCAGAACGAGAATTTGATATTTCTTTATCTCAGTGAGTATTTTGGTCTCTCCAGTTTCTCATCTTGCTACTGCCACCCAAGCCTTGCTAAAGACTGTAGGAGGCTGCTCTGACTTCAACTGAACAAACTGGTTGGGTGCCAGGCCCTCTGCTGTAACACAGACGTGTAGTGAACAGACATAAGCAGGTCTCTACACCCTTCTGGTCCTCACAGAGCTTAGCAATGTGCATACAAATGATGCCTGCAGGGGTGACACGTCCTAAATTTTTCAGGGGCTCTAAAGAAAGAACAGATGATACCAAGATGGGAAAAAGTGAAAGCTTCTCTGAGGAGGTGGCGTTAGAAATGGCCTTTATTTGGGACAGGACTAATGGCCAGGATTCTGGCAGGAGGAGAGCACATAATGAGCATGCTTGGCAGAGGGAATCTCAGTAACGCTCGTGGTTAGAGGGAAGCTGAGAGCAATTTCAAGGGAATATGGGATTTAGCTGGAAAGTAGAATAGGTAGGGTGGAGAAATAGTGAAAACAAACCAGAAAGGAAGTCTGGAAGTCTAATCCTATGGTCTGGAGAGTTTGGGCCGACTTTGGTAGGAATTGGGGAGCCTCTGGAGGTTTCAGAGCAGCTTGGTGACATGGAAGAGTGAGGTTGACAGGTGTGTGTAGGAAGTGGAGTGAGGAGATCAGGCTGGCGCAATCATCTAGGTGAGATAAAGACGACAGCGGTGGTGACAGCCACCTTCCAGGTCTTCAAAGAATTGACCTTTTTTTTTTTTGGCTGCTCCGCACTGCTTGCGGAATCTTAGTTCCCCGACCAGGGATTGAGCCCGGGGCCATGGCAGTGAAAGCACCAAGTCCCAACCACTGGACCGCCAGGGAAGTCCCTTAAAAAAATTGAACTTAATTGAATGTGTGTGTGGATGGAGTTCTTGAAATTCCTTGCCAACCACCCTTCCCCTCGTGACCTTCATGTAAAGAAGAGGGTGAGTATTGCCCATTTTTCTTTTCTCTTTTTTTGTTTTGGCTGTGCTGGTCTTCTTTGCTGCGTGCAGGCTTTCCCTAGTTGCCGCGAGTAGGGGCTACTCTTCGTTGCAGTGCGCGGGCTTCTCATCGCGGTGGCTTCTCTTGTTGCGGAGTACGGGCCCTAGGTGCGCAGGCTTCAGTAGTTGTGGCGCACAGGCTTAGTTGCTCCGCGGTATGTGGGATCTTCCTGGACCAGGGCTCGAACCCATGTCCCCTGCATCGGCAGGCGGATTCTTAACCACTGCGCCACCGGGGAAGTCCCTGCTCTGTCCATTCTTGAGGACACTGGTGAGCAATTCTTGAATTACATGAAAGAAATTGCTAATTGGAATTTCACTGGCACGCATGGCAGGAGGGTACATGATCAGTGTGCCAGAGGCAAAAATCCCATGGAGAAAAGCAAGTTTAAAAGGAGCCTCTGCAATTATTGTTCTCAGATGGCCCTACCTAGGTTAACAACAGCCCCCCATTAGGCTACTAGGAGTCCAGCTTGCCCCATTTCAGCACTGACTTTGAACTTGACCTACCTGGGCTCACATTGGCTCCTCCCACCAGGCACCTGTTCCACACCCAGGAGACCACGTTGGCAAGCCTGTTATTTGTCACTCAGCCCATGTAGGGAATGCAG